CATTTTCTCTTTAGGGGGAGGGGGGACGTATCTGTCCTAAGATGCCCCATTATAAGTCGCAAACTGGTTATGTAGGAAGATATTTTCTCCCCTTTCGCTTGGGTCCTACTCCTCATCTCGTCTATCACTTCGTCGTCATCAATGGTCGTTAAATACTCTCGTCGAAAAGCTTTTTTAAATGATCTCCACGAACCAATTTCTTTACGAATTGTGCGGAACCACCTACTCGCATTGCCCTTAAAAATGCTGGGAAGTGTTTGGAGGAGGTCTTCGTCGCTTATCATGTCGCAATCTCGGCAGTCTTCAATCCTCTCTAAGAATTCTTCGGGATCTTCTTGCTCTTCACCCGAGAACTTAATATCCCAATCTTTTAGAGTCCTATTGACTTTATTTAATCGAGAAGCTAAACGATAATCTCTTCGCCTCTGAGTCCTGTCGCTAACGTCAGTCTCGTTGTCAGTCGAAGAATTTTCAAAGAGTGTCCTCCTAGCATCAATCCGTTGAGTATTCCGAGAAGTAGGTCTTCGGCTGGAATCCCTACGTCTCTGACGATCCCCTTCCCTAGTCGAGAATCCGTCGCTAACTTCCGATCTCACTCTACTGTCGCTATGTAACTCACTGGGTTCACTCTTTACTACGGAACCCCTTTCTCTCTTTATGTATGTGCGCCTACTGTCACATACTTCCTCACTCCTAATCCTGTTTTCGCCTACTGTCCGGGGGGTTGGGTTATGGATGGTGTTGGGACTCTCTCCTCCTGATAGGCCCTGATTAACCGAAGTTATTTCATCCCCTTCCCCTGTCGCAATTTCTACTGGATTTTGAGATGGCCGGTGATAATTGCTATTATCCCCCAAATTCTGACCCATACTAGCAGCCATTAAATGGTTATTAATGCGGATCAGCTGTTGTAGTTCTGGACTCAGGGTAAACTTGGCTATGGATTGTCGCAAGCTAATCACCCCGGGCGACATCGTCGCTGAAACCCTCATTGACGGGGCAGAATTCACGGTGGTCGTTGGCGCGGAGTTCATAGAATGAACGGCTGACATTCGTGGTGGGGAATTTGTGGGGATCGACGCTGTGGACATCACCGGTGGTGATTGTTGATCTCCTAAAAACCCCAAGTCACGAATCGACCGTGAATTTTTCTCCTCGTCGCTACTCGAATAATACTCGCCTCCTCTTTTAAGATTTACATTGGGCAATAATTTTTCTTCTGTGAAAGCCTCAAACTGAAAAACTTTGACTGAGTTCCCTTTATCGTACTCGTCGCAAAAGGGTACGTTAGTTTCTGGGGGAGCGCGAGTTTCAATTCTGCCCGAAACAATCGTTCTCGCAAAACTTGTAACGAGCCACTAATACATAATTGATTAGTCAACAGGCTCGTTACCACTTGTCCTACCGGCATTCCTAAAACCACTTGCCACAATTCCTTCGCCTGTGGGATTGTTAACAAGAGACGCATCCTTTCTTTGTAGAAATGCATTCGTTCAATTGCCTCTGCCATCTTGAACGCTCGAAAAATTTAATTGTCGACAAACAAACAAAAAATTTTTTTTTTTAAGGGGGCCCGTTCCCTATTAGATACGTCACTGGTCAATAAAAAGAAATGCCGTTAAATAATCGTGTCGCCACAAAGAAAATTTTTCTCCCTTAAAAATTTTCACGCAAAATTGTAAATTTATTTTTTGAAGGGCCCGTCGATCCGTTGACACGGCCCTGGTCAATAATTTTTATACACTTGCTTGACTAGTCGCAAAGGAAAATTTTACTCCCTAAAATTTTTCACTCATTTTGGAATTCTAGAAATAAAGGTGCCAATTTTATAGGTACGGCCCTGACAATTAAATTCAAGTTAGCACCACTTGACTTTTCACAAAAATAAATTGTCGCAAAAATTAACCAGTCGCAAAAATTAAATTTGGTATAACTTATAATTTTTGGGGCCCGCTCACTATTAGTTACGGCACTGGTCACTCGTAAAAATTCAATTTTATAACCGGGTCGTCATTAAGAGAATTTTTCCCATTAAAAATTCTCACGTAAAATGTCAATTAATTTTTGATAGGGCCCGTCGGTCCGTTGACACGGCCCTGGTAAACAATAAGAAAATTCAACAATTACTTGACTTGTCGTTAAGGAAATTTTACCCACTAAAATTTGCAATTATAATTAAAGACATTTTTAAAGATGACCGTCGCGATAATAATACGGTCCTGGATTAATTTTTGTTTATTTAACAAATCTTTTTTTTTAAAAGTCACACTAATCGACTCTCAATTCTATTCCACACGTTTTATTTAAAATTTTCAATTTCTCCACTCATTGAAAATTTTTCAAGTCGCAAGATTCCCTACTGCGCAAGTCACAAGTGTTTGAAATTTCTATCTTCTTCCAAGTCGAGAAGCATGGGTCTCAAATTCAAACACCGAGATATCACGTAATACGCATGCGTGACGAATCACATGGTATGGTATAATTAATACGCCGGCCACGTGGAAAGCAATTATTAATAATAAATAATTTTTTCAAAATATAATCACGCACAAAAATCCAGAAAAATTCACTGATTCCGAGAAAAATCGATCCGTCAAAATCAGTCGAGAAATGTCTCTGAAATTAATTCTTGAAAATTTCTACACGTGACTATGGCGGACGCTATGCATATTAAATTTACCTGGGAACACTCGCGAAATTGTCTCACTTTATTCGCCCGAACACAACTCCTCAACCATGTCGCAAATTATAAATTTCAGGGCAGAAACAATAAAATTCATTACATGAAAAATTACAATCAGCAACAAAACATTTTCTATCGAAATTATCAGGTCGAGAAAGTCACAAAAATCAAGGCACAAAAATTTTGTAGTGTCTCAAAGATTCTCAACGAGGCCCCACGTTGGGCGCCAATTTTTATAACGAAATTATTAAATTAATTAAATGTTGTTAATTAATAACCCCTTTTTAAGTTACAAAAAGAAAACCCAACGTGAAAATTGTTAGACGCCAGCCAATTTTTTATGGAATTGGCAAACCAGAAAAATCACAAATTTCACGAAATAACCCCAACACTCAAATTAACCAAATTAAATCTCAGGGGAGATTCTGTCAAAAACGAAAGTCGCAAAAAGGGACACGACCCTTGTGACACGACAACAACAAAATTGGACTTACCCCCGACGACACTCGGCTCACAATTTCCTTTTTGTCTGTCCTCTCAGCTGATGATGGGAAGTCGCCGGTAAGGGAAAAATGGCCAAACACACAAAATAAACAAAAACTCTCTTTTTTACACACTTTATTACTTGTAATAATAATTCGAGCCTCCGCTCGACAGCCGTACAGTAATCGTCTCCAATTACAAGAAAATACCACTTCTCTACACAACTCAATACAAATTTCACAACACGACAACGTCCAAGACTCTACACGCTCTCTGTGTATCTTTCATTGATTCTTACTTCGATCGCCTTCGTCTCCGTCTCGTTCCATAAGTGGCCGCCGTGATGGCGCCACCTCCCGGACTCCTGCGTTGTCTCTGCTCCAAATCCCCAAACGCGCGAAACCCAACCCCAGTCAAAAATTGCCGTCACAAATTATAATATAATTAATATTATTATAATAATGTAATGATGATTGTTTAAACAATTACGAAATTTATTGAAGATATATGGCTGCAGTTAGTTCGTAATTTCGGCATCTTATACACATACATCATTACGTGATAATACATCGACCAACGATTAGTCATTCATATAGTCACAGTCGGTTTCTTACCGAGATTAATGTGGATAATTAACCGACTGTAATCTTTTCGTCTGTTAAATCTTGATCGATAATAAAATCTTTTATTTGCTGTAAGAGATTATATATTGATTATAATATTTAAGAAATACTTAATTTTTTAATGACATGGTTATATTCGCTTGTATTAATAATTATGATATATATAGTTATTATATTTGTGTATTCTAATTCATATATACCATATTTATAATAATTAAAACTATTGTAATTTTGGTTGCCTAGTTATAGGCGAATTTTATAATTATTAGAAAAGGTTTTTGTTTTTCCGGGATGTAACAGTCCTTCCCCCTTAGACTTTTATTGTCCTCAATAAATTACATGAATTCAGTAAGGTTTTATAATGTTTGCAATTAATTTCTTATAAATAATATTTCTTTGACGTTCATCCCCCCCCCCTTTTTTTTTTGCTTACAATAAGAGAAATAAATACGATTTGCTACACAAAGATCTGTGCAGTTTTCTAATCAAAATCCAAACAATTTCTTCTTGACTACGTGACATTCGTCATGTTTTTGTGTTTTATGGAATGTCATCAAATTTTGCTTGGTAACCCGTTGAAGATCACTCTGTTTGCATGTGAGAACAAGCTTTAGTATTTTCTACATTATGGAAGACTGCGAATCGGTTGACAGTGACACTACTACAGTTAATTTTATAGATTATATTGCAAGAAACATGTTACCATTGCCTTTGATGAGAAGTCGACAGATGGGTCCAGGTGAGTAATTTTATTCTTCTATTGTTATTCTTTCTTAGATTCTCTTTACTGACACATATCTTTAATTGCTTATCTTTTAAATCATGGCAAATGCAACGACAAATGCATCAGATAGTGAATTTTTAAATTCAATAAGTGCTTTTGATTTGACATTATTAGGACCTTTTGACAATTCGGTTGAAGTTGATGAATTAATTTCGGAATCTAATAATCCCATAACATTAACTTCAAATTCTATTGATATTTCGCGTTCAAGTGTTGCTTATGTGAATCAACAACGTCTTTTAATAGAGAGAATAATTGAACTAGAAAAAAGACTTAATATTTTTCAATTTGCTTTATGAAAAGTTTCGTCAGATAAAGCTATAAATATTTTGTGTAATTTATGTGGTTTGATTTTTTGTAAAACCATTTTGAAGGATGAATTTAAAGTTGTTCGTGAATTGGATAGTCGTCGACGTGGAGTGTTAATGCGCGTTAGATCTGTTGAATTGAAATAAAGTATGCTATCCAAGGAAACTCATTTTAAATCTTATGGTTATTCTGTAGATATTTATTAAGTAACGTTATCTTTTGTTTAGTTTTAGTAAATTCTAAGAGGTCATTCCGACCTTTTGCTCGAGTCTTAACGAGGATGTTCCTTTTAATTACGGAAGTAAATAGATTGTTAAATTTGGCTGCTAGCATAAAACAATATGTAAATGCTCCAACTTCACATATGACACTAAGAAAGAGGCGAGGACGTCCAAGGAAAGTTGATGTTCTGTCTTCGTCATCCACTTCAGTACCATTTTTAAGTTCGAAAATAGAAGAATATGAAAATATTTTAATTTGTGCAAGGGAACATGTTAATGAGTTGGATAAAATAGTCGTGGAAACAATATCCGATCCTGTTTCTCGACCAAAAACATGCACTCATTTGACAACTTCCAACATTTCAATTTGTCAAGGGTGAGTTTGTATTTTGTAGAGATTTGTTATAAATCAATTTATTTTTCTCTTATTATTATATTATTAATATGTGTGTACATATATTTTTATTTATATATACATATATTACACACATATATATATGCATATATAATTTGATGTATAATTTGTAAACGTTCTCTTTTTTTTAGAATTCCGGGAAGTTCTCATCAATTTTGTACTTGCGGATTGTTTCTTACTGATGATGCTCCTTGTTCTTGCCGCAAAGGACTATCTTATTCTTATGCGTCAACACCCGAAAATCAACGAGAGTTTGCTCCAGCGATGCAAGCAAATGAACCAATTGCAGGTCCCAGTTCTTTTTGTTATCCTTCCATTAAGGTGGAGAAAGTTGATGTGGATTCGGATACATCGTTTTGATTATTATTATTTAACAAACACAAATCTTTTATGTAATTCTTAGGTACACCATTTAAAATCATTATCAATAATTAATAATTAGTTTTTGTTATAAAACCTTATAGAATATGTATGTTTGGACAAAAATAAATTTTATTGTTTTCTTAATTGTTTAAATAAACTTATAATCTACTAAAAAGTTATTTTTAATTGTGTGTTAATATATACTAATTTTGTTTAATAATTCCTATTAATATTATTAATTTTTCTCTTTTCTAGTTTTAATAATTATTACAGGTAATTTTGAACATAATTGCTATTTATTGGTAACATTTTTTTTTGAGTTCGCGCAAGCGCATCTGTTAATATTTATGAAATTCTGTATTTTTAATTACAGTTGAATCTATTGATTTAGAATTAATATTTATGCCATTTATTTATATTAAAATTATGTTTTAATTATAATTACTCAACAAATTTAACCTTAACATAATTATTATGCTCTATCTATATTCTATTAGAATGACCCTATTAGATTATCATAAATTAGTTAATTATTTGACATCTTTTGTACAGCGCTGCGATGCTTTGTTAGGGTCGATACTCGTGGTCGAAACATACAGTATAATGCACGGTAGGTTAATTCGAGGTGTAAAGACTGTATATTATGACATTGCGTGAGGCGCGTTATAGAGTGAAGTTAGTTGATAGTCGCATTGGTATGAACCTCTAAAACGTAATACTTTAAGGTTCATACACAATTGAACGCATTATTAAATTAGGTTGCTTAGATTAATTTATTTGTATTATTGATAATTATTACTTATAATTTAAAGATATACTTAATTTGTTTATTTTAATTAATAATTAATATTTTATTAATAATTGAATTGTAAAAGATTAAATTTTTAGTAATATAATTTGGTAATAATACCAATAAATTAATCTTGTTTTGTGACATTTTAGTTTGCGCAAGCGCATTATTTAGAAGTTTAATAAAATTCGTAAATTGCATGGATCTGAAAAGACTAGTTAAAACTTCCTCATTGAAAATTCTGATGCCGTTTCCTACGCCAGATACGCATCGTAACCTACGCCGTTTCCGCCTTTGAATCCGACGTCGAATTCGACATGGAATTCGCAGTCGGAAACGACGCCCGATCCGTAGCCGAGATTTGTGATCGTTTCCGGCGGTAACAAGGTAGCGGTCTATTGCGGATATTTTTATCATATTCTGCTAAAGTGAGTCTACAACTACCACATATACTTAATAGATATTTATCACTTTGTAAAAAAAAATTACTGTTCACATGGTTTTGAATACGAGCTGCTATTGATTCAGTTATAGAAAACGAACTTGCTTTTTGTTTACCAAAAATAATCTTGTTACCGCACATAACACAAACATTTTTCTATTTTCTTCATGACTTAAATATTGTGACATATTAAAAATCTGAATTTTAATTTTACATTAATTCTAATTTAAAGAAATTGCACTTTTGTAGAACGAACAACTATAAAAAATTGTAAACTATAAAGTTCTTTTTTTGGACAAAATCGAAATTAAAATAAGATGCAATAAAGTAAAACAACTGCGAATCTTAGATGAAGCCGTATCCAGGATATACATCTAAGTGCGAATTATTCTACTTCTAAACATACGTGTAATGTTTTTGTCATAAATCATTCGAGAAATTTCGTGTTTATGTTGATAATTGACGAGGATCCGACTTATCGAGAATGTGGGAAAATGCTTATTATCAAACAGATATTTTTTAGTTTCATACAAGTAAATAGTTTCTTCACTTAAATTGTGCGAATAATATATTTTTTAAACAATTTTTTTTATAAAAAAACAAAAAGAATTAATGGAAAAATCTGGAGAAAATTTTTTAAACAGAAAAATTCATTTTTTTAATTTTTTTTACATTTTTTCAATTTTCTCGAGAAATTAATCAGATACGATTTTAATTCAAAGTGGTTATCAAATCTAAGACCATCAAGAACAAGATCCAATGGTCAGATTTGGTTGACAATTTGTTGGAACTTTCGACTCGTTCAACGACGCCGTTGACCAATTTACCGCCAACATAAAGTACCGCCAACTCAAAAATTGTAGGGGGACAAACCCTTACAAACCTATGTTTCTATTGGGATCTGACATTCGTACACATGCCATCTGGTGTTGAAAAATGTAACTAGTTTTGGATAACTGTTTGTGTCACTTGCAATTGTAGTTCCGCTGTCATTGTTAATTATTTTATCATTATGAATGAAGCTACATTTTTACCGCGTGAGAAATCTTCCTGCAGAATTAAGTGTTCTGTGAGAGGCTGTGGCAGTACTGTAGCGAAAAATTTAAGCGTAATTTTCCATAAATTTCCGAAACCAAAACAACGAGTAGTGGATGTGAAAATACGTTTGATAATTTTGAAAAAGTCGATCAATTAAAGGCCTGGAAAAATGCTTTAAAAATAAACAGTATAAAGCCTTCTATGAGAGTATGTTCTCTGCATTTCAAAAGAAGTGATTACATTTTGCCAGGTAAGTTTAAGATTTTAAAATTTGGAGGTTATATAATCTTTCATATTACCCGTGCATGTGAACATTTTGAAAGTTAATTTATCACTGTAAAAACGGATAAATAAATTTTTTTTTCAGTTCTTGTTAAGAGACTTTTACAATGAAAAATGAAATACATACATTTATAAATTTTCATATAATTTCATGAAATATAAAGGAAAATACAATACTTTTCTTGCACATGTATCGCTGGATTTGAGAAAATAATTTGTATAAAAATAAGATTTCTTTTATATTTTTATTCATGTTTGTAAATAGGAATGTAAATAGTAATTTTGTATTAAAAAAATTTACTTATACATTTATTAAATTAAGCAATATTTTTTAAACGATTTTATTCTATTGCATCCCATGTTATTCCCATGTAAATTCACTAAAAGTGTTACCCAATTTACGCCATATTGCTTTAGGCCCCGCCCCCATGTCAGATCCCAATACAATCTTCAGTCATTCCCTAATTCTAAATTTTTATTTCAAGTTACGTCTATAATTTCAAACAAGACAATTCCATATAATTTGCATCTTCAGGAAAATAATCATTAAATTATTAAAAAGTATGTGTCAAAATTATATTTTCAAATTATCTTTATTTAATTTTAAAAACTTTCATAATTCTTTTAAAAATCTTCTACAATTTCCCAATTCCAAAGAATACTGACGTTTAAAGTTGACAGTTATTCTTCAACTGTATATTATTTTATTCTTATGTGTTTCCAAATAACTTTTACCTTTGATTCCTAAGTTTGTTAATTTTACTTTATTTAGTTGTAACTAACAAATTTTACTCCTTGTACTGTGTATTTCCTTAATTTTTCAGATTTTCTAAAAATTCAATGGAAATAAATAACCAAATTGTTCCCGAGCTATTGGATGAGAATCCAGGCTCAAAAACAATTAAATAAATTTTAATGATAGTAATAATAATCGAAATGAAAGCTCACCGAGCCAGAATTCGTTGATTTAAAATAATAATAACAATACAGGATAATTACAAAGTATAGCAAATTTTTTATTTACACTATATATTTAAAAATATCGAGCAATTAAAATTATTACGTCGTCGGATACGGACCGATATCAAGCTACAAATATTCGCTTTACATAAAGAGAACCACGCTAATGGTTCTGTTAAATTAAATACAAATGATAAAATTAACGTTGTATAAAACACTACATTGACTATGATAAAAATAAAGAATTCACAACATTCGCAAAACGGAAACTTTAATTGCATGAAAACGAGTCTATAATCTATAATTTGTCGAACGATAACGATATTCTATTTGATACCAGTCACAAGGGGTGAAAGGCTCAAAGGTTGGAAATAACGTAATCGTCATCCCGTATTATGTTTTGGTGTGCGAGAAATTATTTATCGGATTTTTCTTTTTTTTGTACGGGATTTTTCTGTCGAGAACATCCTTGTATTTAGCGAAATGACGTAGTTTCTCCTAGCTAAATGGACGGGCGTTCCGTTCCAGCGAAGAATTATTCGTCGGGGTACCAAGGGATTTGAAGCGCGTTCCACACTTAAACTTTTCGGGCGTCCGACACGACACACGTGCCCCCTCTTCTCCATCTACCAAATGCATTCCCCTCCTGACGTAGGAGAAGTTAGTATTGAAGAGGGGGCACGTTTCACGTGTCGGGCGTCCGAAAAGTTTAAGTGTGGAACGCGCTTTACTCCCGGCCCAAGAAAATTCCAAGCGGCACAGTTACAGCGAGCGTATTGTAGCTAGGGAAAACCGATTTCCAAGATGGCGTCGTCTTTTCACACGGCGTAAACCGCGGCAAAGTTTGACGAGCTGAAAAGAGAAAGGGTTAGTGGAGACTTACTCACTGTAGCGAAACAGCGAGTAAGTAGAAAGAAAAAGTTGCCTTGAATTTTGGTAAAGAAGGAATCTTTATTTATAGCAAGGACTTGGAAAAGTGGAGTGATCGTACAACGAGTGCAAGTGTAGATCGCCTCTCCTGAGTGGTCCAACACCCAGTCCTTATATACCCTCAGCGAGTCACCTCGACTGCGAGTGAAATATTTACTACAGATTTACTACAGAACAGCGCTCGTAGCGTTAAACAATAAGAACTAAATTGAAAACTTATAAGTAATACACACACACATATATCTAACATTATAAATTATAAATAAATTATAAATTATTATAACAATAATATTTATAATTAACAATCAATAAAATTACAATTATTATAATAACAAAAATTATAATTATTAATTATAATTATATTATTAGTTAATCACAATTTATTACAATATAGTAATTATTTATAATAAATTATAAGTTATAATTAATATATAAATAGATTACAACATTAAACATCGAACATAATCTTTTTTATAAACAAATTCACTGAAAACTCCGCTCGGAAAAGTATCCGGCGAGCAGGAGGATTAAAGAAGTGACGCGTTGACAGCAAAGGGCCTGACGCGTGGAGAGTGGGAGAGAAAAGCGGGAAATAGGAGAGAGGCGCGGCGGTGGAGTTTGGTTGGGAAAGCGTAGCAGACCCGTTAACAATGACTCAGCCAAGGACAAGAAATTCATGAAGAATGAGCAATTTTGGCTATCTTCATGAATTTAAGTCACCCCTATCAGTGACATGTATCAATTCCCCCCCTTGGGAAGGCATTGGTCACGGAATATTACTAGAATTTACTAAATTTTCCGAAAGGTTGTTCGAAGTTTAAGTGGTTTCGATGTTACAAAAATTTTTTTAAAATATGATTCGATGCTACAAAAGTTTACGGAGTGGTTGATCTTCTTCTTCATCCTCTGGATTGATGTTGAGTGATTGGCTGCTGGTTATCTGAGCTTATTCAGCCACAGATGTTGCTGTAGCCATCCTCTCAAAAGAGTGTTATTCGGCCTTTTTTGGTGGTGATTTTTGTACTGAGATGTTCAACGGGCTTGTACAGCTGCATGTGTTGCAATGGTCGCCTCGTCCGAGGGACCGCAGCTATCCTAAGTGTTCTATGGACAACTGCGCTGGCGGGGGCAGGAGTTGGCCTGTGTTTAGTCTGGGGTGAGGGTGTCGAACCCCGAACTAAGGCTGAGAAACTAGGAATAGATCTGCTTTAGAAATTATGTGGGATGACGGCTTGGGCTTATTCAGCTTAACGATATGATAACCCGTCCGGGTCATCTGTCATCCCCCTCAAGTCTGGTGGAGTCTCTTTAAAAATTACTCTAGGAGAAGTAACGAGTAATGGTGGTAATTTTGGCCGTCGACGAAATTTTAATAAAAGTTTCGCGAACTAGTGGATGATAGAAGTGGAATCAATTTGTGGGGTTACCAGTTAAGTCTTCTCTGCCCGTTCCTTGTTCAGGAAATAAGACTAAGAATGTTAATGGTAAAAGAGAAGCTATGGTGTTTTGAGAAAGAGATAAGTGGAAACAAAGATATAGATGGCAACCATCTGGTATTGAAATTTACAACATCGTCCGATGTTACTTCCGGCTCCCGGTATCCAGTCATCGAAGGTGAGTAGGTCTTCGAGCTTGTTCAGCACATTGAGACTGTTTGGGTTTGAACCAAGCATGGTCCAACGGAAAGGAAAAGATTCCTACGTCAAGCTGGCGTGCAAGGAAAGCCCCGATCAGAACGTTTCGCTTGGCCATAAGCCGTGTAGGTGATATCCCCCCTTTGCCGAAGTTGTTGGTAAAGGTATTTTCGAGGATGGTTAGTCAGGGTAGCACGAAATCTTTTCAAAACCCAGACGTTTGAGGTGGGATTTCTAGACGTTAAATAACCCACGATAATAACTGTTTAGGTATATGAGTCGATTTAAGGTACAGTGAGAAGAGAGTGTGGTGATTGACTGTCTTAGGGCTAGAGGCTCTATGACAAAAATAGAGAAGACAGCGAAATAATTATAGCATTGTTGATACCGTCCTTGAAAAATCTATTTTCAATTATTTTCAAATAAATCAAAATACTTTGCATATATGCTGTTAGAAAATCTTACAAACTATTTTTATGTAACATCTTTTTTCAATTTTAACCCGAAAAATGGTTATTTTGCAATTTTTTAAGTATTTTTTGATTTTTTCAATTTTTTATTATTATTTTTTATTATTTATTGTTGTTTTTTCAATTTTTAGTTAGTAACCTATAATATTGTGTCTAATTTTAAGTGTCATTAAAATCAAATGTTTTTAACATAATAATTTTAACATTTCTTAATTTAAAACGAAACATCTTCTATTATATTAAGTTAACAAATTTCGAAAAACGACACCGACCCCGTGACCTTGACACCGTCCTTGAAAAATCTATTTTCAATTATTTTCAAATAAATCAAAATACTTTGCATATATGCTGTTAGAAAATCTTAGAACTATTTTTATGCAACATCTTTTTTCAATTTTAACTCGAAAAAGGGTAATTTTTTAATTTTAACCCGAAAAAGGGTAATTTTTTAATTGTAACCCGAAAAAGGGTTATTTTGCAATTTTAACCCGAAAAAGGGTTATTTTGCAATTTTTTAAGAATGTTTTGATTTTTTCAATTTTTTATTATTATTTTTTATTATTTATTGTTGTTTTTTCAATTTTTAGTTAGTATCCTATAATATTGTGTCTAATTTTAAGTGTCATTAAAATCAAATGTTTTTAACTTAATAATTTTAACATTTCTTAATTTAAAACGAAACATCTTCTATTATATTAAGTTAACAAATTTCGAAAAACGACACCGACCCCGTGACCTCGTCACCGTCCTTGAAAAATCTATTTTCAATTATTTTCAAATAAATCAAAATACTTTGCATATATGCTGTTAGAAAATCTTACAAACTATTTTTATGCAACATCTTTTTTCAATTTTAACCCGAAAAAGGGTTATTTTGCAATTTTTTAAGTATTTTTTGATTTTTTTAATTTTTTATTATTATTTTTTATTATTTATTGTTGTTTTTTCAATTTTTTGTTAGTAACCTATAATATTGTGTCTAATTTTAAGTGTCATTAAAATCAAATGTTTTTAACTTAATAATTTTAACATTTCTTAATTTAAAACGAAACATCTTCTATTATATTAAGTTAACAAATTTCGAAAAACGACACCGACCCCGTGACCTTGACACCGTCCTTGAAAAATCTATTTTCAATTATTTTCAAATAAATCAAAATACTTTGCATATATGCTGTTAGAAAATCTTACAACTATTTTTATGTAACATCTTTTTTCAATTTTAACCCGAAAAAGGGTTATTTTTTAATTTTAACCCGATAAAGGGTTATTTTGCAATTTTTTAAGAATTTTTTGATTTTTTTATTATTATTTTTTATTATTTATTGTTGTTTTTTCAATTTTTAGTTAGTAACCTATAATATTGTGTCTAATTTTAAGTGTCATTAAAATCAAATGTTTTTAACTTAATCATTTTAACATTTCTTAATTTAAAACGAAACATCTTCTATTATATTAAGTTAACAAATTTCGAAAAACGACACCGACCCCATGACCTCGACACCGTCCTTGAAAAATCTATCTTCAATTATTTTCAAATAAATCAAAATACTTTGCATATATGCTGTTAGAAAATCTTACAAACTATTTTTATGTAACATCTTTTTTCAATTTTAACCCGAAAAAGGGTTATTTTTCAATTTTAATCCGATAAAGGGTTATTTTGCAATTTTTTAAGAATTTTTTGATTTTTTCAATTTTTTATTATTTATTGTTGTTTTTTCAATTTTTAGTTAGTAACCTATAATATTGTGTCTAATTTTAAGTGTCATTAAAATGAAATGTTTTTAACTTACTAATTTTAACATTTCTTAATTTAAAACGAAACATCTTCTATTATATTAAGTTAACAAATTTCGAAACACGACACCGACCCCGTGACCTCGACACCGTCCTTGAAAAATCTATTTTCAATTATTTTCAAATAAATCTAAATACTTTGCATATATGCTGTTAGAAAATCTTACAAACTATTTTTATGTAACATTTTTTTTCAATTTTAACCCAAAAAAGGGTCATTTTGCAATTTTTTAAGAATTTTTTGATTTTTTCATTTTATTATTAATATTTTTTATTATTTATTGTTGTTTTTTCAATTTTTAGTTAGTAACCTATAATATTGTGTCTAATTTTAAGTGTCATTAAAATCAAATGTTTTTAACTTAATAATTTTAACATTTCTTAATTTAAAACGAAACATCTTCTATTATATTAAGTTAACATATTTCGAAAAACGACACCGAACCCGTGACCTCGATACCGTCCTTGAAAAATCTATTTTCAATTATTTTCAAATAAATCAAAATACTTTGCATATATGCTGTTAGAAAATCTTACAAACTATTTTTATGTAACATCTTTTTTCAATTTTAACCCGAAAAAGGGTTATTTTGCAATTTTTTAAGAATTTTTTGATTTTTTCAATTTTTTATTATTATTTTTTATTATTTATTGTTATTTTTTCAATTTTTAGTTAGTAACCTATAATATTGTGTCTAATTTTAAGTGTCATTAAAATCAAATGTTTTTAACTTAATAATTTTAACATTTCTTAATTTAGAACGAAACATCTTCTATTATATTAAGTTAACAAATTTCGAAAAACGACACCGACCCCGTGACCTTGACACCGTCCTTGAAAAATCTATTTTCAATTATTTTCAAATAAATCAAAATACTTTGCATATATGCTGTTAGAAAATCTTACAACTATTTTTATGTAACATCTTTTTTCAATTTTAACCCGAAAAAGGGTAATTTTTTAATTGTAACCCGAAAAAGGGTTATTTTGCAACTTTAACCCGAAAAAGGGTTATTTTGCAATTTTTTAAGAATGTTTTGATTTTTTCAATTTTTTATTATTATTTTTTATTATTTATTGTTTTTTTTTTAATTTTTTGTTAGTAACCTATAATATTGTGTCTAATTTTAAGTGTCATTAAAATCAAATGTTTTTAACTTAATAATTTTAACATTTCTTAATTTATAACGAAACATCTTCTATTATATTAAGTTAACAAATTTCGAAAAACGACACCGACCCCGTGACCTCGACACCGTCCTTGAAAAATCTATTTTCAATTATTTTCAAATAAATCAAAATAATTTGCATATATGCTGTTAGAAAATCTTACAAACTATTTTTATGTAACATCTTTTTTCAATTTAATCCGAAAAAGGGTTATTTTTCAATTTTAACTTGAAAAAAGGTTATTTTGCAATTTTTTAAGAATTTTTTGATTTTTTCAATTTTTTATTATTATTTTTTATTATTTATTGTTGTTTTTTTAATTTTTAGTTAGTAACCTATAATATTGTGTCTAATTTTAAGTGTCATTAAAATCAAATGTTTTTAACTTAATAATTTTAACATTTCTTAATTTAGAACGAAACATCTTCTATTATATTAAGTTAACAAATTTCGAAAAACGACACCGACCCCGTGACCTTGACACCGTCCTTGAAAAATCTATTTTCAATTATTTTCAAATAAATCAAAATACTTTGCATATATGCTGTTAGAAAATCTTACAACTATTTTTATGTAACATCTTTTTTCAATTTTAACCCGAAAAAGGGTAATTTTTTAATTGTAACCCGAAAAAGGGTTATTTTGCAACTTTAACCCGAAAAAGGGTTATTTTGCAATTTTTTAAGAATGTTTTGATTTTTTCAATTTTTTATTATTATTTTTTATTATTTATTGTTTTTTTTTTAATTTTTTGTTAGTAACCTATAATATTGTGTCTAATTTTAAGTGTCATTAAAATCAAATGTTTTTAACTTAATAATTTTAACATTTCTTAATTTATAACGAAACATCTTCTATTATATTAAGTTAACAAATTTCGAAAAACGACACCGACCCCGTGACCTCGACACCGTCCTTGAAAAATCTATTTTCAATTATTTTCAAATAAATCAAAATAATTTGCATATATGCTGTTAGAAAATCTTACAAACTATTTTTATGTAACATCTTTTTTCAATTTAATCCGAAAAAGGGTTATTTTTCAATTTTAACTTGAAAAAAGGTTATTTTGCAATTTTTTAAGAATTTTTTGATTTTTTCAATTTTTTATTATTATTTTTTATTATTTATTGTTGTTTTTTCAATTTTTAGTTAGTAGCCTATAATATTGTGTCTAATTTTAAGTGTCATTAAAATCAAATGTTTTTAACTTAATAATTTTAACATTTCTTAATTTATAACGAAACATCTTCTATTATATTAAGTTAACAAATTTCGAAAAACGACACCGACCCCGTGACCTCGTCACCGTCCTTGAAAAATCGATTTTCAATTATTTTCAAATAAATCAAAATACTTTGCATGTATGCTGTTAGAAAATCTTACAACTATTTTTATGTAACATCTTTTTTCAATTTTAACCCGAAAAAGGGTTATTTTGCAATTTTTTAAGAATTTTTTGATTTTTTCAATTTTTTATTATTATTTTTTATTATTTATTGTTGTTTTTTCAATTTTTAGTTAGTAACCTATAATATTGTGTCTAATTTTAAGTGTCATTAAAATCAAATGTTTTTAACTTAATAATTTTAACATTTCTTAATTTAAAACGAAACATCTTCTATTATATTAAGTTAACATATTTCGAAAAACGACACCGTCCCCGTGACCTCGATACCGTCCTTGAAAAATCTATTTTCAATTATTTTCAAATAAATCAAAATACTTTGCATATATGCTGTTAAAAAATCTTACAAACTATTTTTATGTAACATCTTTTTTCAATTTTAACCCGAAAAAGGGTTATTTTGCAATTTTTTAAGAATTTTTTGATTTTTTCAATTTTTTATTATTATTTTTTATTATTTATTGTTATTTTTTCAATTTTTAGTTAGTAACCTATAATATTGTGTCTAATTTTAAGTGTCATTAAAATCAAATGTTTTTAACTTAATAATTTTAACATTTCTTAATTTAGAACGAAACATCTTCTATTATATTAAGTTAACAAATTTCGAAAAACGACACCGACCCCGTGACCTTGACACCGTCCTTGAAAAATCTATTTTCAATTATTTTCAAATAAATCAAAATACTTTGCATATATGCTGTTAGAAAATCTTACAACTATTTTTATGTAACATCTTTTTTCAATTTTAACCCGAAAAAGGGTAATTTTTTAATTGTAACCCGAAAAAAGGTTATTTTGCAATTTTTTAAGAATTTTTTGATTTTTTCAATTTCTTATTATTATTTTTTATTATTTATTGTTGTTTTTTTAATTTTTAGTTAGTAACCTATAATATTGTGTCTAATTTTAAGTGTCATTAAAATCAAATGTTTTTAACTTAATAATTTTAACATTTCTTAATTTAGAACGAAACATCTTCTATTATATTAAGTTAACAAATTTCGAAAAACGACACCGACCCCGTGACCTTGACACCGTCCTTGAAAAATCTATTTTCAATTATTTTCAAATAAATCAAAATACTTTGCATATATGCTGTTAGAAAATCTTACAACTATTTTTATGTAACATCTTTTTTCAATTTTAACCCGAAAAAGGGTAATTTTTTAATTGTAACCCGAAAAAGGGTTATTTTGCAACTTTAACCCGAAAAAGGGTTATTTTGCAATTTTTTAAGAATGTTTTGATTTTTTCAATTTTTTATTATTATTTTTTATTATTTATTGTTTTTTTTTAATTTTTAGTTAGTAACCTATAATATTGTGTCTAATTTTAAGTGTCATTAAAATCAAATGTTTTTAACTTAATAATTTTAACATTTCTTAATTTATAACGAAACATCTTCTATTATATTAAGTTAACAAATTTCGAAAAACGACACCGACCCCGTGACCTCGACACCGTCCTTGAAAAATCTATTTTCAATTATTTTCAAATAAATCAAAATAATTTGCATATATGCTGTTAGAAAATCTTACAAACTATTTTTATGTAACATCTTTTTTCAATTTAATCCGAAAAAGGGTTATTTTTCAATTTTAACTTGAAAAAAGGTTATTTTGCAATTTTTTAAGAATTTTTTGATTTTTTCAATTTTTTATTATTATTTTTTATTATTTATTGTTGTTTTTTCAATTTTTAGTTAGTCTCCTATAATATTGTGTCTAATTTTAAGTGTCATTAAAATCAAATGTTTTTAACTTAATAATTTTAACATTTCTTAATTTAAAACGAAACATCTTCTATTATATTAAGTTAACATATTTCGAAAAACGACACCGACCCCGTGACCTCGATACCGTCCTTGAAAAATCTATTTTCAATTATTTTCAAATAAATCAAAATACTTTGCATATATGCTGTTAGAAAATCTTACAAACTATTTTTATGTAACATCTTTTTTCAATTTTAACCCGAAAAATGGTTATTTTGCAATTTTTTAAGTATTTTTTGATTTTTTCAATTTTTTATTATTATTTTTTATTATTTATTGTTGTTTTTTAAATTTTTAGTTAGTAACCTATAATATTGTGTCTAATTTTAAGTGTCATTAAAATCAAATGTTTTTAACTTAATAATTTTAACATTTCTTAATTTAAAACGAAACATCTTCTATTATATTAAGTTAACAAATTTCGAAAAACGACACCGACCCCGTGACCTCGTCACCGTCCTTGAAAAATCTATTTTCAATTATTTTCAAATAAATCAAAATACTTTGCATATATGCTGTTAGAAAATCTTACAAACTATTTTTATGCAACATCTTTTTTCAATTTTAACCCGAAAAAGGGTTATTTTGCAATTTTTTAAGAATTTTTTGATTTTTTCAATTTTTTATTATTATTTTTTATTATTTATTGTTGTTTTTTCAATTTTTAGTTAGTAACCTATAATATTGTGTCTAATTTTAAGTGTCATTAAAATCAAATGTTTTTAACTTAATAATTTTAACATTTCTTAATTTAGAACGAAACATCTTCTATTATATTACGTTAACAAATTTCGAAAAACGACACCGACCCCGTGACCTTGACACCGTCCTTGAAAAATCTATTTTCAATTATTTTCAAATAAATCAAAATACTTTGCATATATGCTGTTAGAAAATCTTACAAACTATTTTTATGTAACATCTTTTTTCAATTTTAACCCGAAAAAGGGTTATTTTGCAATTTTTTAAGAATTTTTTGATTTTTTCAATTTTTTATTATTATTTTTTATTATTTATTGTTATTTTTTCAATTTTTAGTTAGTAACCTATAATATTGTGTCTAATTTTAAGTGTCATTAAAATCAAATGTTTTTAACTTAATAATTTTAACATTTCTTAATTTAGAACGAAACATCTTCTATTATATTAAGTTAACAAATTTCGAAAAACGACACCGACCCCGTGACCTTGACACCGTCCTTGAAAAATCTATTTTCAATTATTTTCAAATAAATCAAAATACTTTGCATATATGCTGTTAGAAAATCTTACAACTATTTTTATGTAACATCTTTTTTCAATTTTAACCCGAAAAAGGGTAATTTTTTAATTGTAACCCGAAAAAGGGTTATTTTGCAACTTTAACCCGAAAAAGGGTTATTTTGCAATTTTTTAAGAATGTTTTGATTTTTTCAATTTTTTATTATTATTTTTTATTATTTATTGTTTTTTTTTTAATTTTTTGTTAGTAACCTATAATATTGTGTCTAATTTTAAGTGTCATTAAAATCAAATGTTTTTAACTTAATAATTTTAACATTTCTTAATTTATAACGAAACATCTTCTATTATATTAAGTTAACAAATTTCGAAAAACGACACCGACCCCGTGACCTCGACACCGTCCTTGAAAAATCTATTTTCAATTATTTTCAAATAAATCAAAATAATTTGCATATATGCTGTTAGAAAATCTTACAAACTATTTTTATGTAACATCTTTTTTCAATTTAATCCGAAAAAGGGTTATTTTTCAATTTTAACTTGAAAAAAGGTTATTTTGCAATTTTTTAAGAATTTTTTGATTTTTTCAATTTTTTATTATTATTTTTTATTATTTATTGTTGTTTTTTTAATTTTTAGTTAGTAACCTATAATATTGTGTCTAATTTTAAGTGTCATTAAAATCAAATGTTTTTAACTTAATAATTTTAACATTTCTTAATTTAGAACGAAACATCTTCTATTATATTAAGTTAACAAATTTCGAAAAACGACACCGACCCCGTGACCTTGACACCGTCCTTGAAAAATCTATTTTCAATTATTTTCAAATAAATCAAAATACTTTGCATATATGCTGTTAGAAAATCTTACAACTATTTTTATGTAACATCTTTTTTCAATTTTAACCCGAAAAAGGGTAATTTTTTAATTGTAACCCGAAAAAGGGTTATTTTGCAACTTTAACCCGAAAAAGGGTTATTTTGCAATTTTTTAAGAATGTTTTGATTTTTTCAATTTTTTATTATTATTTTTTATTATTTATTGTTTTTTTTTTAATTTTTTGTTAGTAACCTATAATATTGTGTCTAATTTTAAGTGTCATTAAAATCAAATGTTTTTAACTTAATAATTTTAACATTTCTTAATTTATAACGAAACATCTTCTATTATATTAAGTTAACAAATTTCGAAAAACGACACCGACCCCGTGACCTCGACACCGTCCTTGAAAAATCTATTTTCAATTATTTTCAAATAAATCAAAATAATTTGCATATATGCTGTTAGAAAATCTTACAAACTATTTTTATGTAACATCTTTTTTCAATTTAATCCGAAAAAGGGTTATTTTTCAATTTTAACTTGAAAAAAGGTTATTTTGCAATTTTTTAAGAATTTTTTGATTTTTTCAATTTTTTATTATTATTTTTTATTATTTATTGTTGTTTTTTCAATTTTTAGTTAGTAGCCTATAATATTGTGTCTAATTTTAAGTGTCATTAAAATCAAATGTTTTTAACTTAATAATTTTAACATTTCTTAATTTATAACGAAACATCTTCTATTATATTAAGTTAACAAATTTCGAAAAACGACACCGACCCCGTGACCTCGTCACCGTCCTTGAAAAATCGATTTTCAATTATTTTCAAATAAATCAAAATACTTTGCATGTATGCTGTTAGAAAATCTTACAACTATTTTTATGTAACATCTTTTTTCAATTTTAACCCGAAAAAGGGTTATTTTGCAATTTTTTAAGAATTTTTTGATTTTTTCAATTTTTTATTATTATTTTTTATTATTTATTGTTGTTTTTTCAATTTTTAGTTAGTAACCTATAATATTGTGTCTAATTTTAAGTGTCATTAAAATCAAATGTTTTTAACTTAATAATTTTAACATTTCTTAATTTAAAACGAAACATCTTCTATTATATTAAGTTAACATATTTCGAAAAACGACACCGTCCCCGTGACCTCGATACCGTCCTTGAAAAATCTATTTTCAATTATTTTCAAATAAATCAAAATACTTTGCATATATGCTGTTAAAAAATCTTACAAACTATTTTTATGTAACATCTTTTTTCAATTTTAACCCGAAAAAGGGTTATTTTGCAATTTTTTAAGAATTTTTTGATTTTTTCAATTTTTTATTATTATTTTTTATTATTTATTGTTATTTTTTCAATTTTTAGTTAGTAACCTATAATATTGTGTCTAATTTTAAGTGTCATTAAAATCAAATGTTTTTAACTTAATAATTTTAACATTTCTTAATTTAGAACGAAACATCTTCTATTATATTAAGTTAACAAATTTCGAAAAACGACACCGACCCCGTGACCTTGACACCGTCCTTGAAAAATCTATTTTCAATTATTTTCAAATAAATCAAAATACTTTGCATATATGCTGTTAGAAAATCTTACAACTATTTTTATGTAACATCTTTTTTCAATTTTAACCCGAAAAAGGGTAATTTTTTAATTGTAACCCGAAAAAGGGTTATTTTGCAACTTTAACCCGAAAAAGGGTTATTTTGCAATTTTTTAAGAATGTTTTGATTTTTTCAATTTTTTATTATTATTTTTTATTATTTATTGTTTTTTTTTTAATTTTTTGTTAGTAACCTATAATATTGTGTCTAATTTTAAGTGTCATTAAAATCAAATGTTTTTAACTTAATAATTTTAACATTTCTTAATTTATAACGAAACATCTTCTATTATATTAAGTTAACGAATTTCGAAAAACGACACCGACCCCGTGACCTCGACACCGTCCTTGAAAAATCTATTTTCAATTATTTTCAAATAAATCAAAATAATTTGCATATATGCTGTTAGAAAATCTTACAAACTATTTTTATGTAACATCTTTTTTCAATTTAATCCGAAAAAGGGTTATTTTGCAATTTTTTAAGAATTTTTTGATTTTTTCAATTTTTTATTATTATTTTTTATTATTTATTGTTGTTTTTTTAATTTTTAGTTAGTAACCTATAATATTGTGTCTAATTTTAAGTGTCATTAAAATCAAATGTTTTTAACTTAATAATTTTAACATTTCTTAATTTAGAACGAAACATCTTCTATTATATTAAGTTAACAAATTTCGAAAAACGACACCGACCCCGTGACCTTGACACCGTCCTTGAAAAATCTATTTTCAATTATTTTCAAATAAATCAAAATACTTTGCATATATGCTGTTAGAAAATCTTACAACTATTTTTATGTAACATCTTTTTTCAATTTTAACCCGAAAAAGGGTAATTTTTTAATTGTAACCCGAAAAAGGGTTATTTTGCAACTTTAACCCGAAAAAGGGTTATTTTGCAATTTTTTAAGAATGTTTTGATTTTTTCAATTTTTTATTATTATTTTTTATTATTTATTGTTTTTTTTTTAATTTTTTGTTAGTAACCTATAATATTGTGTCTAATTTTAAGTGTCATTAAAATCAAATGTTTTTAACTTAATAATTTTAACATTTCTTAATTTATAACGAAACATCTTCTATTATATTAAGTTAACAAATTTCGAAAAACGACACCGACCCCGTGACCTCGACACCGTCCTTGAAAAATCTATTTTCAATTATTTTCAAATAAATCAAAATAATTTGCATATATGCTGTTAGAAAATCTTACAAACTATTTTTATGTAACATCTTTTTTCAATTTAATCCGAAAAAGGGTTATTTTTCAATTTTAACTTGAAAAAAGGTTATTTTGCAATTTTTTAAGAATTTTTTGATTTTTTCAATTTTTTATTATTATTTTTTATTATTTATTGTTGTTTTTTCAATTTTTAGTTAGTAGCCTATAATATTGTGTCTAATTTTAAGTGTCATTAAAATCAAATGTTTTTAACTTAATAATTTTAACATTTCTTAATTTATAACGAAACATCTTCTATTATATTAAGTTAACAAATTTCGAAAAACGACACCGACCCCGTGACCTCGACACCGTCCTTGAAAAATCTATTTTCAATTATTTTCAAATAAATCAAAATAATTTGCATATATGCTGTTAGAAAATCTTACAAACTATTTTTATGTAACATCTTTTTTCAATTTAATCCGAAAAAGGGTTATTTTTCAATTTTAACTTGAAAAAAGGTTATTTTGCAATTTTTTAAGAATTTTTTGATTTTTTCAATTTTTTATTATTATTTTTTATTATTTATTGTTGTTTTTTTAATTTTTAGTTAGTAACCTATAATATTGTGTCTAATTTTAAGTGTCATTAAAATCAAATGTTTTTAACTTAATAATTTTAACATTTCTTAATTTAGAACGAAACATCTTCTATTATATTAAGTTAACAAATTTCGAAAAACGACACCGACCCCGTGACCTTGACACCGTCCTTGAAAAATCTATTTTCAATTATTTTCAAATAAATCAAAATACTTTGCATATATGCTGTTAGAAAATCTTACAACTATTTTTATGTAACATCTTTTTTCAATTTTAACCCGAAAAAGGGTAATTTTTTAATTGTAACCCGAAAAAGGGTTATTTTGCAACTTTAACCCGAAAAAGGGTTATTTTGCAATTTTTTAAGAATGTTTTGATTTTTTCAATTTTTTATTATTATTTTTTATTATTTATTGTTTTTTTTTTAATTTTTTGTTAGTAACCTATAATATTGTGTCTAATTTTAAGTGTCATTAAAATCAAATGTTTTTAACTTAATAATTTTAACATTTCTTAATTTATAACGAAACATCTTCTATTATATTAAGTTAACAAATTTCGAAAAACGACACCGACCCCGTGACCTCGACACCGTCCTTGAAAAATCTATTTTCAATTATTTTCAAATAAATCAAAATAATTTGCATATATGCTGTTAGAAAATCTTACAAACTATTTTTATGTAACATCTTTTTTCAATTTAATCCGAAAAAGGGTTATTTTTCAATTTTAACTTGAAAAAAGGTTATTTTGCAATTTTTTAAGAATTTTTTGATTTTTTCAATTTTTTATTATTATTTTTTATTATTTATTGTTGTTTTTTCAATTTTTAGTTAGTAGCCTATAATATTGTGTCTAATTTTAAGTGTCATTAAAATCAAATGTTTTTAACTTAATAATTTTAACATTTCTTAATTTATAACGAAACATCTTCTATTATATTAAGTTAACAAATTTCGAAAAACGACACCGACCCCGTGACCTCGTCACCGTCCTTGAAAAATCGATTTTCAATTATTTTCAAATAAATCAAAATACTTTGCATGTATGCTGTTAGAAAATCTTACAACTATTTTTATGTAACATCTTTTTTCAATTTTAACCCGAAAAAGGGTTATTTTGCAATTTTTTAAGAATTTTTTGATTTTTTCAATTTTTTATTATTATTTTTTATTATTTATTGTTGTTTTTTCAATTTTTAGTTAGTAACCTATAATATTGTGTCTAATTTTAAGTGTCATTAAAATCAAATGTTTTTAACTTAATAATTTTAACATTTCTTAATTTAAAACGAAACATCTTCTATTATATTAAGTTAACATATTTCGAAAAACGACACCGTCCCCGTGACCTCGATACCGTCCTTGAAAAATCTATTTTCAATTATTTTCAAATAAATCAAAATACTTTGCATATATGCTGTTAAAAAATCTTACAAACTATTTTTATGTAACATCTTTTTTCAATTTTAACCCGAAAAAGGGTTATTTTGCAATTTTTTAAGAATTTTTTGATTTTTTCAATTTTTTATTATTATTTTTTATTATTTATTGTTATTTTTTCAATTTTTAGTTAGTAACCTATAATATTGTGTCTAATTTTAAGTGTCATTAAAATCAAATGTTTTTAACTTAATAATTTTAACATTTCTTAATTTAGAACGAAACATCTTCTATTATATTAAGTTAACAAATTTCGAAAAACGACACCGACCCCGTGACCTTGACACCGTCCTTGAAAAATCTATTTTCAATTATTTTCAAATAAATCAAAATACTTTGCATATATGCTGTTAGAAAATCTTACAACTATTTTTATGTAACATCTTTTTTCAATTTTAACCCGAAAAAGGGTAATTTTTTAATTGTAACCCGAAAAAAGGTTATTTTGCAATTTTTTAAGAATTTTTTGATTTTTTCAATTTCTTATTATTATTTTTTATTATTTATTGTTGTTTTTTTAATTTTTAGTTAGTAACCTATAATATTGTGTCTAATTTTAAGTGTCATTAAAATCAAATGTTTTTAACTTAATAATTTTAACATTTCTTAATTTAGAACGAAACATCTTCTATTATATTAAGTTAACAAATTTCGAAAAACGACACCGACCCCGTGACCTTGACACCGTCCTTGAAAAATCTATTTTCAATTATTTTCAAATAAATCAAAATACTTTGCATATATGCTGTTAGAAAATCTTACAACTATTTTTATGTAACATCTTTGTTCAATTTTAACCCGAAAAAGGGTAATTTTTTAATTGTAACCCGAAAAAGGGTTATTTTGCAACTTTAACCCGAAAAAGGGTTATTTTGCAATTTTTTAAGAATGTTTTGATTTTTTCAATTTTTTATTATTATTTTTTATTATTTATTGTTTTTTTTTAATTTTTAGTTAGTAACCTATAATATTGTGTCTAATTTTAAGTGTCATTAAAATCAAATGTTTTTAACTTAATAATTTTAACATTTCTTAATTTATAACGAAACATCTTCTATTATATTAAGTTAACAAATTTCGAAAAACGACACCGACCCCGTGACCTCGACACCGTCCTTGAAAAATCTATTTTCAATTATTTTCAAATAAATCAAAATAATTTGCATATATGCTGTTAGAAAATCTTACAAACTATTTTTATGTAACATCTTTTTTCAATTTAATCCGAAAAAGGGTTATTTTTCAATTTTAACTTGAAAAAAGGTTATTTTGCAATTTTTTAAGAATTTTTTGATTTTTTCAATTTTTTATTATTATTTTTTATTATTTATTGTTGTTTTTTCAATTTTTAGTTAGTCTCCTATAATATTGTGTCTAATTTTAAGTGTCATTAAAATCAAATGTTTTTAACTTAATAATTTTAACATTTCTTAATTTAAAACGAAACATCTTCTATTATATTAAGTTAACATATTTCGAAAAACGACACCGACCCCGTGACCTCGATACCGTCCTTGAAAAATCTATTTTCAATTATTTTCAAATAAATCAAAATACTTTGCATATATGCTGTTAGAAAATCTTACAAACTATTTTTATGTAACATCTTTTTTCAATTTTAACCCGAAAAATGGTTATTTTGCAATTTTTTAAGTATTTTTTGATTTTTTCAATTTTTTATTATTATTTTTTATTATTTATTGTTGTTTTTTAAATTTTTAGTTAGTAACCTATAATATTGTGTCTAATTTTAAGTGTCATTAAAATCAAATGTTTTTAACTTAATAATTTTAACATTTCTTAATTTAAAACGAAACATCTTCTATTATATTAAGTTAACAAATTTCGAAAAACGACACCGACCCCGTGACCTAGTCACCGTCCTTGAAAAATCTATTTTCAATTATTTTCAAATAAATCAAAATACTTTGCATATATGCTGTTAGAAAATCTTACAAACTATTTTTATGCAACATCTTTTTTCAATTTTAACCCGAAAAAGGGTTATTTTGCAATTTTTTAAGAATTTTTTGATTTTTTCAATTTTTTATTATTATTTTTTATTATTTATTGTTGTTTTTTCAATTTTTAGTTAGTAACCTATAATATTGTGTCTAATTTTAAGTGTCATTAAAATCAAATGTTTTTAACTTAATAATTTTAACATTTCTTAATTTAGAACGAAACATCTTCTATTATATTACGTTAACAAATTTCGAAAAACGACACCGACCCCGTGACCTTGACACCGTCCTTGAAAAATCTATTTTCAATTATTTTCAAATAAATCAAAATACTTTGCATATATGCTGTTAGAAAATCTTACAACTATTTTTATGTAACATCTTTTTTCAATTTTAACCCGAAAAAGGGTAATTTTTTAATTGTAACCCGAAAAAAGGTTATTTTGCAATTTTTTAAGAATTTTTTGATTTTTTCAATTTCTTATTATTATTTTTTATTATTTATTGTTGTTTTTTTAATTTTTAGTTAGTAACCTATAATATTGTGTCTAATTTTAAGTGTCATTAAAATCAAATGTTTTTAACTTAATAATTTTAACATTTCTTAATTTAGAACGAAACATCTTCTATTATATTAAGTTAACAAATTTCGAAAAACGACACCGACCCCGTGACCTTGACACCGTCCTTGAAAAATCTATTTTCAATTATTTTCAAATAAATCAAAATACTTTGCATATATGCTGTTAGAAAATCTTACAACTATTTTTATGTAACATCTTTTTTCAATTTTAACCCGAAAAAGGGTAATTTTTTAATTGTAACCCGAAAAAGGGTTATTTTGCAACTTTAACCCGAAAAAGGGTTATTTTGCAATTTTTTAAGAATGTTTTGATTTTTTCAATTTTTTATTATTATTTTTTATTATTTATTGTTTTTTTTTTAATTTTTTGTTAGTAACCTATAATATTGTGTCTAATTTTAAGTGTCATTAAAATCAAATGTTTTTAACTTAATAATTTTAACATTTCTTAATTTATAACGAAACATCTTCTATTATATTAAGTTAACAAATTTCGAAAAACGACACCGACCCCGTGACCTCGACACCGTCCTTGAAAAATCTATTTTCAATTATTTTCAAATAAATCAAAATAATTTGCATATATGCTGTTAGAAAATCTTACAAACTATTTTTATGTAACATCTTTTTTCAATTTAATCCGAAAAAGGGTTATTTTTCAATTTTAACTTGAAAAAAGGTTATTTTGCAATTTTTTAAGAATTTTTTGATTTTTTCAATTTTTTATTATTATTTTTTATTATTTATTGTTGTTTTTTCAATTTTTAGTTAGTAGCCTATAATATTGTGTCTAATTTTAAGTGTCATTAAAATCAAATGTTTTTAACTTAATAATTTTAACATTTCTTAATTTATAACGAAACATCTTCTATTATATTAAGTTAACAAATTTCGAAAAACGACACCGACCCCGTGACCTCGACACCGTCCTTGAAAAATCTATTTTCAATTATTTTCAAATAAATCAAAATAATTTGCATATATGCTGTTAGAAAATCTTACAAACTATTTTTATGTAACATCTTTTTTCAATTTAATCCGAAAAAGGGTTATTTTTCAATTTTAACTTGAAAAAAGGTTATTTTGCAATTTTTTAAGAATTTTTTGATTTTTTCAATTTTTTATTATTATTTTTTATTATTTATTGTTGTTTTTTCAATTTTTAGTTAGTAGCCTATAATATTGTGTCTAATTTTAAGTGTCATTAAAATCAAATGTTTTTAACTTAATAATTTTAACATTTCTTAATTTAAAACGAAACATCTTCTATTATATTAAGTTAACAAATTTCGAAAAACGACACCGACCCCGTGACCTCGTCACCGTCCTTGAAAAATCGATTTTCAATTATTTTCAAATAAATCAAAATACTTTGCATATATGCTGTTAGAAAATCTTACAACTATTTTTATGTAACATCTTTTTTCAATTTTAACCCGAAAAAGGGTAATTTTTTAATTGTAACCCGAAAAAGGGTTATTTTGCAATTTTTTAAGTATTTTTTGATTTTTTTAATTTTTTATTATTATTTTTTATTATTTATTGTTGTTTTTTCAATTTTTTGTTAGTAACCTATAATATTGTGTCTAATTTTAAGTGTCATTAAAATCAAATGTTTTTAACTTAATAATTTTAACATTTCTTAATTTAAAACGAAACATCTTCTATTATATTAAGTTAACAAATTTCGAAAAACGACACCGACCCCGTGACCTTGACACCGTCCTTGAAAAATCTATTTTCAATTATTTTCAAATAAATCAAAATACTTTGCATATATGCTGTTAGAAAATCTTACAACTATTTTTATGTAACATCTTTTTTCAATTTTAACCCGAAAAAGGGTAATTTTTTAATTGTAACCCGAAAAAAGGTTATTTTGCAATTTTTTAAGAATTTTTTGATTTTTTCAATTTCTTATTTTTATTTTTTATTATTTATTGTTGTTTTTTTAATTTTTAGTTAGTAACCTATAATATTGTGTCTAATTTTAAGTGTCATTAAAATCAAATGTTTTTAACTTAATAATTTTAACATTTCTTAATTTAGAACGAAACATCTTCTATTATATTAAGTTAACAAATTTCGAAAAACGACACCGACCCCGTGACCTTGACACCGTCCTTAAAAAATCTATTTTCAATTATTTTCAAATAAATCAAAATACTTTGCATATATGCTGTTAGAAAATCTTACAACTATTTTTATGTAACATCTTTTTTCAATTTTAACCCGAAAAAGGGTAATTTTTTAATTGTAACCTGAAAAAGGGTTATTTTGCAACTTTAACCCGAAAAAGGGTTATTTTGCAATTTTTTAAGAATGTTTTGATTTTTTCAATTTTTTATTATTATTTTTTATTATTTATTGTTTTTTTTTTAATTTTTTGTTAGTAACCTATAATATTGTGTCTAATTTTAAGTGTCATTAAAATCAAATGTTTTTAACTTAATAATTTTAACATTTCTTAATTTATAACGAAACATCTTCTATTATATTAAGTTAACAAATTTCGAAAAACGACACCGACCCCGTGACCTCGACACCGTCCTTGAAAAATCTATTTTCAATTATTTTCAAATAAATCAAAATAATTTGCATATATGCTGTTAGAAAATCTTACAAACTATTTTTATGTAACATCTTTTTTCAATTTAATCCGAAAAAGGGTTATTTTTCAATTTTAACTTGAAAAAAGGTTATTTTGCAATTTTTTAAGAATTTTTTGATTTTTTCAATTTTTTATTATTATTTTTTATTATTTATTGTTGTTTTTTCAATTTTTAGTTAGTAGCCTATAATATTGTGTCTAATTTTAAGTGTCATTAAAATCAAATGTTTTTAACTTAATAATTTTAACATTTCTTAATTTAAAACGAAACATCTTCTATTATATTAAGTTAACAAATTTCGAAAAACGACACCGACCCCGTGACCTCGTCACCGTCCTTGAAAAATCGATTTTCAATTATTTTCAAATAAATCAAAATACTTTGCATATATGCTGTTAGAAAATCTTACAACTATTTTTATGTAACATCTTTTTTCAATTTTAACCCGAAAAAGGGTAATTTTTTAATTGTAACCCGAAAAAGGGTTATTTTGCAATTTTTTAAGTATTTTTTGATTTTTTTAATTTTTTATTATTATTTTTTATTATTTATTGTTGTTTTTTCAATTTTTTGTTAGTAACCTATAATATTGTGTCTAATTTTAAGTGTCATTAAAATCAAATGTTTTTAACTTAATAATTTTAACATTTCTTAATTTAAAACGAAACATCTTCTATTATATTAAGTTAACAAATTTCGAAAAACGACACCGACCCCGTGACCTTGACACCGTCCTTGAAAAATCTATTTTCAATTATTTTCAAATAAATCAAAATACTTTGCATATATGCTGTTAGAAAATCTTACAACTATTTTTATGTAACATCTTTTTTCAATTTTAACCCGAAAAAGGGTAATTTTTTAATTGTAACCCGAAAAAGGGTTATTTTGCAACTTTAACCCGAAAAAGGGTTATTTTGCAATTTTTTAAGAATGTTTTGATTTTTTCAATTTTTTATTATTATTTTTTATTATTTATTGTTGTTTTTTCAATTTTTAGTTAGTATCCTATAATATTGTGTCTAATTTTAAGTGTCATTAAAATCAAATGTTTTTAACTTAATAATTTTAACATTTCTTTATTTAATACGAAACATCTTCTATTATATTAAGTTAACAAATTTCGAAAAACGACACCGACCCCGTGACCTCGTCACCGTCCTTGAAAAATCTATTTTCAATTATTTTCAAATAAATCAAAATACTTTGCATATATGCTGTTAGAAAATCTTACAAACTATTTTTATGCAACATCTTTTTTCAATTTTAACCCGAAAAAGGGTTATTTTGCAATTTTTTAAGAATTTTTTGATTTTTTCAATTTTTCATTATTATTTTTTATTATTTATTGTTGTTTTTTCAATTTTTGTTAGTAACCTATAATATTGTGTCTATTTTTAAGTGTCATTAAAATCAAATGTTTTTAACTTAATAATTTTAACATTTCTTAATTTAAAACGAAACATCTTCTATTATATTAAGTTAACAAATTTCGAAAAACGACACCGACCCCGTGACCTCGTCACCGTCCTTGAAAAATCTATTTTCAATTATTTTCAAATAAATCAAAATACTTTGCATATATGCTGTTAGAAAATCTTACAAACTATTTTTATGTAACATTTTTTTTCAATTTTAACCCAAAAAAGGGTCATTTTGCAATTTTTTAAGAATTTTTTGATTTTTTCAATTTTTTATTATTATTTTTTATTATTTATTGTTGTTTTTTCAATTTTTAGTTAGTAACCTATAATATTGTGTCTCATTTTAAGTGTCATTAAAATCAAATGTTTTTAACTTAATAATTTTAACATTTCCTAATTTAAAACGAAACATCTTCTATTATATTAAGTTAACAAATTTCGAAAATCGACACCGACCCCGTGACCTCGACACCGTCCTTGAAAAATCTATTTTTAATTATTTTCAAATAAATCAAAATACTTTGCATATATGCTGTTAGAAAGTCTTACAAACTATTTTTATGTAACATTTTTTTTCAATTTTAACCCAAAAAAGGGTCATTTTGCAATTTTTTAAGAATTTTTTGATTTTTTCAATTTTTTATTATTATTTTTTATTATTTAATGTTGTTTTTTCAATTTTTAGTTAGTAACCTATAATATTGTGTCTAATTTTAAGTGTCATTAAAATCAAATGTTTTTAACTTAATAATTTTAACATTTCTTAATTTAAAACGAAACATCTTCTATTATATTAGGTTAACAAATTTCGAAAAACGACACCGACCCCGTGACCTCGACACCGTCCTTGAAAAATCTATTTTCAATTATTTTCAAATAAATCAAAATACTTTGCATATATGCTGTTAGAAAATCTTACAAACTATTTTTATGTAACATCTTTTTTTAATTTTAACCCGAAAAAGGGTTATTTTGCAATTTTTTAAGAATTTTTTGATTTTTTCAATTTTTTATTATTATTTTTTATTATTTATTGTTGTTTTTTCAATTTTTAGTTAATAACCTATAATATTGTGTCTAATTTTAAGTGTCATTAAAATCAAATGTTTTTAACTTAATAATTTTAACATTTCTTAATTTAAAACGAAACATCTTCTATTATATTAAGTTAACAAATTTCGAAAAACGACACCGACCCCGTGACCTCGACACCGTCCTTGAAAAATCTATTTTCAATTATTTTCAAATAAATCAAAATACTTTGCATATATGCTGTTAGAAAGTCTTACTAACTATTTTTATGTAACATTTTTTTTCAATTTTAACCCAAAAAAGGGTCATTTTGCAATTTTTTAAGAATTTTTTAATTTTTTCAATTTTTTATTATTATTTTTTATTATTATTATTTATTTCAAACCATTCAGTCTAATACATAGTTAGATTTTACAATTCATTAATTACACGAAGATACTAATTTTTGCAGAATGAGATTACAAAACAAAACAAAATAATACATCGACAGTGTGGTGAAACAACAACCCTAATTTTACAATTCAAAGCTTTCCTCAATTCATAC